ATCTTGGATAAAATTTTGATCTCATTAACGGTAGTTTTGGTGACGTCACAACAGGGATTAACCATATAATAGTATTCGGTACTGACCAAATATTGATTGGTAGATGTTTTAGACGTTTCAAGTGATCTTGATATTTCCAAGAGCTTACAGAGTATAATTTCGGGTGAAAAATGATTAGTGGTTGTCTAGATAAAAATATTGCGTGACCCCTGTTGTGACGTAACATGCATATCCACAAAAATCCAAGATGGCGGACATTTCATTTCTTTCGATTAAAATATTTGTAGAAGTAAGCAAGATATGAAAAAACGGTAACAGAGTTTTATATATGGTTTTAAATGTTCTTTCAAACGAGAAAATATATTGCCATTCCCCTTTAAAGCCTGGTTTAAAGCCACGAGCGCGCAGCACGAATTTATTAAACGGGTTTAAAAATGCGAGTTTATTAAACGGCTTCAAACACGACTACAAATTCAATAGATTTACTGCCTTATTAGTATTCTTTATATAAAGAATACTAATTAGGAGTATTTTATCAGGTTTAAAGCCACTGCACGTGACATATTATGGTTGACATGATTTGCCAATAAGCTTATGAATAATATGTTAATGAGTGTTTGAAATATACATATTTCTTCGTTTTTAATTTTTCGCATGAAGTATTTCACCAAGCGCAGTATGTTATCTGGCCTCGTATTTATTCTTAGCTTGGTCAAACTGTTCCCGCGCGGTCCCAAAAAGACTAAATTCAAGAGTAAGAGCCAGGCTTTAGAATTACAGGCCAAGAAACAGCCTTTTATTCTGGCTAAAATCTAGAACACACGTCGTCACACAAAGCGGATAGAACTTCGCTTGACAAGTTGAAATATAATTAACTAAGATTCCCAATTATACGCCACGCCACCAAAGAACTTCTTATGCTAGGAGCGGTCATCTCATTGGACGATTCTGAATGTAATTGACGTTTCAGCAAGAATACTGGCAAACGATTGGATAACTTTGATATCTGACGTCTCTTTCCTGTGACATTGCTCGAAACCAAATACAGTACCGTTTCTTTCCTGCGGGGAACGAAACAAAAACAGCATTGACGCTCAAGAGAGAAGCTCAGATTGAACCTCCACTCATTGAGTGTGAGTGTGAGTGAGCTTTTAGAATACGGGCGTTACTCGCGTTAAATGTAGCTTCTCAAACAAATCAATGCTTTAAGAGAAATGGAGTTTAATTAAAGTTGACGAAAAATGGCTGTAATCTTCCTTTCATTTCTAAATACAGAATTAATATGCATTTCTTTTGAATTATTTTTTATGAATTATTAATGAGTTTAAGAAAATTACAATGCAAATTGGATGCAAAATGCAGGTAAGGTCGAATACAAAATCATTACAGTATTTTGCGGATACATCGAATCAAGTATTGAATATTATTCGAGTGACGACAAAAAGTTAGGGGTGATGGGCCTACTGGCATAGGTTTATGGAGGGGCAGAAGCATTTAAGTAAAACAAGGTCACAGATGCAGGCAGTTTGTTAACTTGACCCAAATAAGTAAAATGACATGTACCAGCATTTTGGCAATATGAGAATATCTATAAATTCGGTTTTGAGAATTCTCTTGAAAATGTGGAATTTCGTTGTCACTTCCGGCAATTTGCGTTCGTGTATGGAAAGGAGGGTGAATCACCGGATAAAGCTAACTACAGATCCATGTTAATACTAAGTTTTTGTGTTTAAATAACTTAGAAGACATGAGTTTAAATTTCGTATGTCACACCTACGCGTAAAACTTAATTCGAACACCACTGGCACGGTTGCAGGGCTACGCATTCTTGTACGTCGTTGCATTTCCAATCACGTGACTATACTTAAATTAACATGCGCGCGCAAATAACCTATTTCGCATAATTAATATCAACTATAAATTATTCCGGGAAGCAATAAAAACTCTTATCGCTAACTTTGGCAATAAGTTCCTTTATTTTTAATTCTTTCACCTCTTTTTTGTCGGACCGTTTCAAACAAATTTCCCTCAATAAATGTTTATTCAACACATTTCCAGGGCTCTATTTATGAACTTTTGTTGTGTCTGAAGTACATCAATGACCTTTCTTCATTTATCAGTAACACAAAGTCATTTTTATTAGACGATAATGTAATTTGACTGTGTAATAGTTTGAACGTAAATTGTATCAGATAGATTCTAACATCCGAGTGATTCGGGCCCGCAGTAATTGTCTCACGCTGTTGCGGTCACCCTCCCTATGGTCATGTATATTATTCTTGTTCTTGTTGTAGTATTGTGCATTGTGTCTTGTAATATGGCGAAACTAACAAATAAATAAATAAATCCGACATGCAGGTGGCCGGCAACCGTGCATTGAAGTGGGTGAGTGATAATGTAATTGCCCTCAACTCTAATAAAATTAAAATCTATGAAAGTATACTCGTGCCGCAAATTGATCTATCTTGGGCTTTAGTTTATTCAAACGGGTAATCGTCTCGAAATAGTTTTTGACTATGTTTTAAAATGAAGTAATCAAATCGACAACGTAATTAGCCTTGTTTATCCACAAAAATAACACGCTAATCGTGTTTTATTTTAATATACATCCTCAAATATTTTGTTGAACCAAAATAACATAATAAAAATAAGGAAATTTTAATGATATATTTCTGATTATTTTCAAGAAGCAGCTTTGAGGAACGCAGTATAGTGCTAAGATTAGGAATAAATTTCCTCTGGTGGTTTACCATGCCCAGTAAGGCCCAAAGCTTGGTGGAATATTTTAGGGTATAGCCTTGATTTTCTCTCTGGTGCGCAAGGTTGCTTCTGCAGACAATTCTACACTCATGAACATGAATGACGGGTGCATTGTAGTTTCGATCGTATACCGTAATTATTCAGGCGTTCAAGGAGCTTTTTAACATTCCTCAGATGGGGTGACTGTCATGCACTCCAGTTATCAGAATGTCATCTTGAACGATCGCGACTGCAACATATCTTCATAGTGCACTGCAAAATAGCGTGTTGAGAAGCTATGCCGAAGGGACAGCTCTTGTGTCGGTTGCGACAACTATGAGCATTTTTTGTGACATACTGCTTGGCATGCTTGCTTTCGGGATCTATAGGGGCATTTGTTGTTAGACATTGGTTGGATCCAATTAGGTAAAAATTTTTCCACTCAACCGTCGAAAGACATCTTCGGGTATAGTGGAACAGGATTTTGAGGTACTGCACTTTCAGGGAAGGATTGAGCGTGACAGAATTAATCACCATGCTCAGGGCTTCGCCATCAGGTTTTAGAACATGCGGGTGGCCCACTTATTGCATTTAACCTTTTCAAGGATGTCTTGCAATTGCAGGCAACATACTCATCCTGTACCACATTTTGCAGGCATATAAACCAGGGCGAGCCTTTGCGGAACTTGTGCTTGGCACCGCCCTTTAGCCTCAGCTTCGTTGTCATTCCCTTTCTCTTGCCAATTCCACGTTTAATTACTGCAGGGTCTCGCTGAATGATAGTATATCAGACTGAAAACCCTGATTATCGGTCTCTCAGAAGCGGGTTTACGTGGAGAGAATACTTTATTTCTTGATCTTCTGAAGCCCATCATGACCAATTGCAAGTAATGACGACCCACAAACATTTACCCCACAGCTTATATAGGCGTTTCTGTTTTTTGCTATTCCACCCTAGAAAAATGCCATTCACATCAAAATATTGCTCCGAACGTTGTGTGAGCAACAACAAGTGTAATATTAATGCGACTCGATACTGCATAGTGATCTACAGCGGTTATGCAATTACACATAACATTAATTACTACATTACTAACACTACAACAATAGAAACATTTTCTCTTTTACTCAGTTTAAAATTGTTGGCGACCCCTTATACTATTACTTTATAAAAATTGAACCTATTGAAACACGAGCCACTGAGGCACTAAGAACCTAGCATTAACATCCCTTGATATCAAGGAGGCATTAACAATTTTGGTTTAAAATATGGATATAGCAGTTGAACTATATACAACCAGATCAGATTTCCCTGGAATATTCTTATACGCAGAGAGAGATAGTTTGTGCTTAATTTAAAACCAAATGCTTGGTATGACCGTTTCAAAATGCATTCCAGAGGAGCATAACTAAACTAATTGACAAAAACTGGGCCGCTTTCATTGATTCAAAGATGCATGCTATTCCATGCTTATTCGCAGGAATCATATAAATATTCACGCTTTTAAAGGACAGGCAGAACATATGGTTTATAACTTGATAACCAAATGTCCTTTATATTACCCCAGGAAATTAAGCTTATTTACATACTGAACGTTTTATTTCTTTGGGGCAAAGTTTTATCTCGAAGGCTTAATATATAATCAATATGTGCAAAATGTAGTGGCCACTTTGATTCTATTATATAAAACAGAGCGTCTACGCTGAACGCGTTGATATAACAAAAATAATCCGGTCTAATACCAAACCAAGAGTTATGGTCTTGGGGTTGGTAATCAACTCTGTTACTATCTGTATAAATTAATTAGCATTTCAAAAACTTTTCCAGTTGCAAAAAACTGTGTAAAAGTAGAAATATTAGCACAACTGCCAAATATCGAGTTTTCCAGGAGTTCGTATAGCTCCCTTTATATGTAGACACATTGAATATTATGAAGCTTTGAAGCAGAATCATGGTAATTTTGATGTAAAAAAATTCTTTTCCTTAAAACAAGAAAAGAGCTATAGTGATGGTTTAAAAATATACTTTGCATAAACATACTGGTAACACAAAGCCTAATTTAACAATCACCACTGATCTTTAATCTTTAATCTTTAATAAAATTTCTTTTAACACGGTAGCCTATTCAGTGTAATATATACAGTGTGTTTTTCAAAGGGCCGTGCTATATAGTATTAAACACACATTAACTATGGATATTTACAGTTAATTACAGCACATAATTACTACACATTCATTAATTTTGGAAATGCATTATACATTATTCATGTGCAAGCTTAAGGGTTAAACGCCGTTCGAAATCGGGTAAAGATAAATCTTGAATGTTATTAGTTACTTCATCCGATAATTCGTTCCACCCTTGTGCTGCTCTATATAAGAGAAACTTCTTTTAAGAAAGTTGGTTCTTGATTTAGGCAAAGATAGTTTAACATTATTGCTTCTTAGAGAATAATTACTATTTTCGCATCTCGTGAAGAAATTCTGCACATAATCAGGTAGTCTGTTAGTTAAAGCTTTAAACGTCATAATGATTTCTCTTTTCTTTAAAATGTCTTCAATTGGCATCCAATTGAGACTTTCTAGTATTTGAGTGGAACGAACATCGTATGATTGTCCTGTGATAACCCGAGCTGCTCTTCTTTGTAACTTAGAGAGTTTGTTAAGAATGGTATTAGATCCATCATTCCATATTGTTGAGCAATATGTCAGGTGAGGAGATACTAGAGCATTATACATTTTGATTAGAATGTGTAAAGGAACAAAGGACTTGGCTCTTCTTAGTAATGCAATATTTTTTGAGATTTTTTTACATTGTGCGTCAATGTGCATACCCCATTTTAATTGATCGTCGATGATAAAACCAAGAGATTTTTTGTTGGTGACCCGTTTAATATTATTATCTCGTATGGCTAATGAAATCTCTGGGTTGTCTTCAAATTTAGTAAGATGATGTCTAGAGCCAATTATCATAAATTCCGTTTTGCTATCGTTTAGCGTGAGCTTGTTACATCTAAGCCAACTATGAACATTCTCAAGATCTCTTTTAAGTTTAGTCTCGATTTCATTGGCATCTAAGCCGGCACACGAAAGATTTGTGTCATCAGCAAACAAGTTGGCCTTGGTTGTTTCTAGACACTTAGGTAGATCGTTAATATACAAGAGGAATAGGATGGGGCCAAGGTTAGAACCTTGTGGTACCCCACACCTAATTTCTCTAGCATGTGATTTTTTCCCATTCATTAAACAAATCGATTTCCTATTTTGGATGTAAGATTCAAGCCATGCGTAAGTAGTTCCTTTTATGCCGTATAGGTGAAGTTTCTTTAATAAGATTTCATGGTCGACAGTGTCAAAAGCTTTTTTCAAGTCCAAGAACAGGACTCCATTGATTAAGCCACTGTCCATGTTATATAACCACTCATTTGTCGAACCTAAGAGTGCCGTCTCAGTAGAGTGTTGTGAACGAAAACCGGACTGTTGCTCTACAAGAATGCTATTGTCGGCAATAAACGTTCTCAATTGATTGTACACTAGCCCTTCAAACAGCTTAGCAACCACAGAAATTACAGAGATTGGTCCATAATTTCCGCAATCAGTTTTATTCCCTTCTTTAAAGACTGGTGATACCTTGGCGATTTTCCACTCGTCCGGAAAAATTGCAGTCTGAAGAGATAGATTAAAGATGTTGGCTAATGGTTGCGCGATAACATCGCTTGTATCTTTTAATAGTTTTACACTTATGCCGTCCAGTCCTGGTGATTTCCTTGAATTAAGTTGGTTTAAGGCGTCAAAAGTCTCTTGGACTGAAATACATGAAAAATGAAACGAACTCTCCGTAGGAGTGACAAATGTCATAGGGTCAACATTAATATTTTGGACATTTTTCGACAGTTTACAACCGATGAATGAAAAATACTGATTAAAACAGTCCGCAATATTTGTGTCTCCAGTTATAACTTGGTCATCTACATTTAGCTGTGTTACATGGGTAGTTTTGGGCTTTTTGTTTAATAGCTCATTAATAGCCTGCCAACTCCCTTTGCTATTATTTGCATTAGATAACTTCGTTTTAAAGTATTCTTCCTTAGTCTTTTTAATAAGCTTATTTAATTTATTCTTGCATCTTTTGTAGGCCTTGTTATAATTACTCGATGTTAAACGAACACTCTGTCTTTTAAGATAATCCCTATGATGCATTAAACGCTTTATTTCTTTCGTCAGCCATGGTTTATGCTCACTCTTAACGCGACGCTGTCTAACTGGCGCGTGTTTTTCAGCAATAGTAAGAAAGTTGTTCTTAAATTCATTCCATAGCACATTTGGATCATTCGATGTGGGATCTAGATTAGTATAGTAGCTTAGCTCTTCTTTAAATTGGTGGGAGTTGTAATTTTTGAACTGTCGTGTAAATACAATTTTTGGTGGCTCTTTAGGAATGCTAATTTTCCGACATATATAAACAAGACTATGGTCACTAATCCCAAGGTCAACAACCCCGGCTTCTAAGGTTTTATCATCGTCGATATGTGTAAGAATTAAATCAATCAGAGACGAAGAATTATAAGTAGTTCTAGTGGGGGTTTGTATGTGTTGCTGCAGTTGGAAAATATCAATAATATCAATTAACTTAGAAGTAGCTTGGTTTTGAGTGTGCTCAATAAAATTACAATTAAGATCCCCGGTTATGATAATATCTTTGTCTTCATTATCAATCAGCTTCAAGAAGTTTTCGAACTTTTGGAACACATTGGCCACTGTGCCTTAAAACCAAATTCAGTAGCTACTCGAGCTCGGGTACAAGCAATCATACAATTGCGAGATGCACTTCTCGTACACGCCAAACACATTGGCCACATTGCCTTAAATCCAAATGCACTGAGCTAATCGTGCTGGGTTTCATGATCAAGCACACCTGTATTGGAAGATGCACATTGCTGATACGCTAAACACATTGGCCACTGTGCCTTAAAACCAAATTCAGTATTGCGAGATGCACGTCTCTCATACGCCAAACACATTGGCAACTTTGTTTAAAATCCAAATTCTGTAGCTACTCCTGCTCGGTCTCAAGCAATCGTGCATTGCGAGATGCACCTCTCTCATACGCCAAACACATTGGCAACGTTGTTTAAAATCCAAATTCAGTAGCTACTCGTGCTCGGTCTCAACCAATCTAGCATTGCGAGATAAACCTCTCTCATACGCCAAGCACATTGGCAACTTTGTTTAAAATCCAAATTCAGTAGCCACTCGTGCCGGGTCTCAAGCAATCTGGCATTGCGAGATGCACGTCTCATACGCCAAACCCATTGGCAACGTTGTTTAAAATCCAAATTCAGTAGCTACTCGTGCTCGGTCTCAAGCAATCTAGCATTGCGAGATGCACCTCTCTCATACGCCAAGCACATTGGCAACTTTGTTTAAAATCCAAATTCAGTAGCCACTCGTGCCGGGTCTCAAGCACTCTGGCATTGCGAGATGCACGTCTTTCATACGCCAAACACATTGGCAACTTTGTTTAAAATCCAAATTCAGTAGCTACTCGTGCTCTGTCTCAAGCAATCATGCATTGCGAGATGCACTTCTCCATTACGCCAAACACATTGGCAAATTTGTTTAAAATCCAAATGCAATAGCTACTCTTGCTCGGTTTCAAGCAATCTAGCATTGCGAGATGCACTTCTCTCATACGCCAAACACATTGGCAACTTTGTTTAAAATCCAAATTCAGTAGCTACCCGTGCTCGGTCTCAAGCAATCTAGCATTGCGAGATGCACTTCTCTCATACGCCAAACACATTGGCAACTTTGGTTAACATCCAAATTCAGTAGCTACGCGTGCTCGGTCTCAAGCAAGCTAGCATGACGAAATACACCACTCTCATACGCCAAACCCATTGGCAACTTTGTTTAAAATCCAAATTCAGTAGCTACCCGTGCTCGGTCTCAAGCAATCTAGCATTGCGAGATGCACGTCTCTCATACGCCAAACCCATTGGCAACTTTGTTTAAAATCCAAATTCAGTAGCTACCCGTGCTCGGTCTCAAGCAATCTAGCATTGCGAGATGCACTTCTCTCATAACGCCAAACACATTGGCGACTTTGTATAAAATCCAAATTCAGTAGCTACGCGTGCTCGGTCTCAAGCAATCACGCATTGCGAGATGCACTTCTCTCAGACACCAAACCCATTGCCAATTAACATCCAAATTCAGTAACTACCCGTGCTCGGTCTCAAGCAAGCTAGCAAGGCGAGATGCACGTCTCTCATACGCCAAACACATTGGCAACTTTGTTTAAAATTCAAATTCAGTAGCCACTCATGCTCGATCTCAAGCGATCTGGCATTGCGAGATGCACTTTTCTCATACACCAAACACATGGGCATCTTCGTTTAAAATCCAAAATCAGTAGCTACTCGTACTCGGCCTCAAGCAATCATGCATTGCGAGATGCCCTTCTCTCATACGCCAAACACATTGGCAACTTGGTTGAAAATCCAAATTCAATAGCTTCTCGTGCTCGGTCTCAAGCAATCATGCATTGCGAGATACCCTTCTCTCATACGCCAAACACATTGGCAACGTTGTCTAAAAGCCAAATTCAGTAGCTACTCGTGCTCGGTCTCAAGCAATCATGCATTGCGAGATGCCCTTCTCTCATACGCCAAAGCCATTGGCAACTTTGTTTAAAATCCAAATGTAGTAGCTACCCGTGCTCGGTCTCAAGCAATCTAGAATAGCGAGATGCACTTGTCTCATACGCCAAAGCCATTGGCAACTTTGTTTAAAATCCAAATTCAGTAGCTACCCGTGCTCGGTCTCAAGCAATCTAGCATTGCGAGATTCACTTCTCTCATACGCCAAACACATTGGCAACTTTGTTTAAAATCCAAATTCAGTAGCTACCCGTGCTCGATCTCAAGCAATCTAGCATTTCGAGATGCACTTCTCTCATACGCCAAACCCATTGGCAACTTTGTTTATTAATAAAATCCAAATTCAGTAGCTACTCGTGCTCGGTCTCAAGCAATCTAAATTGCGAGATGCACGTCTCTCATACGCCAAACCCATTGGCAACTTTGTTTAAAATCCAAATTCAGTAGCTACCCGTGCTCGGTCTCAAGCAATCTAGCATTGCGAGATGCACTTCTCTCATAACGCCAAACACATTGGCGACTTTGTATAAAATCCAAATTCAGTAGCTACGCGTGCTCGGTCTCAAGCAATCACGCATTGCGAGATGCACTTCTCTCAGACACCAAACCCATTGCCAATTAACATCCAAATTCAGTAACTACCCGTGCTCGGTCTCAAGCAAGCTAGCAAGGCGAGATGCACGTCTCTCATACGCCAAACACATTGGCAACTTTGTTTAAAATCCAAATTCAGTAGCCACTCATGCTCGGTCTCAAGCGATCTGGCATTGCAAGATGCACTTTTCTCATACACCAAACACATGGGCAACTTTGTTTAAAATCCAAATTCAGTAGCTACTCGTACTCGGTCTCAGGCAATCATGCATTGCGAGATGCCCTTCTCTCATACGCCAAACACATTGGCAACTTGGTTGAAAATCCAAATTCAGTAGCTACTCGTGCTCGGTATCAAGCAATCATGCATTGCGAGATACCCTTCTCTCATACGCCAAACACATTGGCAACGTTGTCTAAAAGCCAAATTCAGTAGCTACTCGTGCTCGGTCTCAAGCAATCATGCATTGCGAGATGCCCTTCTCTCATACGCCAAAGCCATTGGCAACTTTGTTTAAAATCCAAATTCAGTAGCTACCCGTGCTCGGTCTCAAACAATCTAGCATTGCGAGATGCACTTCTCTCATAAGCCAAACACATTGGCAACTTTGCTTGTTAATAAAATTCAAATTCAGTAGCTACTCGTGCTCGGTCTCAAGCAATCTAACATTGCGAGATGCACGTCTCTCATACGCCAAACCCATTGGCAACTTTGCTTAAAATCCAAATTTAGTAGCTACCCGTGCTCGGTCTCAAGCAATCTACAATCCTGGACAAGACCATCTGCGACGCTCTGTTAAAACATTCCTTTGTGGCTTTTTTTACCAGTTAGACCGGAATAATTTACTCGTTTGCCCCCCTTCGCCCCCCAAAACAATGTTGGACGTTTTATCCGTATTCTACGAATCCAATCAACATTGAATGGTGGCGGAAAGGGGGAGGTTTTCTAAATTTACGATAACATTACGATATTTTGTCAAGTATATAATTGGAAGTATCGCAGATGTTTTGTCCAGGATTGTCTGAAATGAGTCGAAATTACCTTCTTTTATATTTCGCTTGTTATACATGTCCTTGCCATGTATTTTGTTTATGCGCATTGCTCATGACCTACTTATATTCATAATTACATCAAGTACCTTATTTCATTAATTAAATACGTCATGAATACCTTAGTGTTTTGGAGGGGGTAATAATGTGTGGTAGAATATACAATACAGTATATTATTTTTAATTTTAGCAATTAAAAGCAACGAAATGTTGCGGAAATAATTGAGAAAGTAAAACTATCGCCTTCTAGTCGATTCGTTGCAATAATTCAGAAATTAAGAAATATATACGAGTCATATTTGTTAAGTGTATATATACAAGACCTGCAAGACACAATAGACAACCTATAGTCGACCATGTGAGAAGGTGCCTTGACGGACATGCAAACGATCAGTGAATGAGATGCAATTACACTCTATTTAAAATATAGGTTATTTATATTTTTCAAAAAAATAGCTTTGAAGTAGGTATTCAAATCCTATTTGAAAGAGTAATTGACGGAATCTCACTATAAAATAGCTTTTAAATAGCTATTTAATTCCTATTGATGACAGACGAGTCTGTTAAAATAGTTTTAAGAGGACATTTTTTACAAAATCGCGTATTTTTTGCGCAAAGCGCTCAATACTTAGCGACCAGGCCTTCCCTAAAATCCTGCCCCGCCATCTTGGTTTTAAAAATTTCCCAAAATTTGCGAAGACTAATAACAGAATTTTACTGGATTTTTGGCTGTGTCACGAGGCAAAACATTGCCAAATATAAAGAAAGATAACATGGTAAGTGTAATATCGTATTTAGTAGCTGTTATTTAAATTATTATTATGTAAATATGCACATGTTTCAGACTCAGGAGTGACAATTTCATTCAAAGAGGTCATCTATATTTACTGATTA